AATCTCATTTTGCAACAGAAAAATAACTGAAGCACATAACTTTATGTTACTGGATAAAACAGATACTTTGATGATATATTTAGGTAATAAATAACTGTATATGTTATTGAAATACTCAGCTTATTGCAAAATGGTAAAAATTACAATTATAGCAAATCATGAGGGAAATATTGTGATAGTATCGTATCTCAGGGTGTCTGGTGATTCAAGCTAATAATGAGTAAAGAACTGTTGTGATTATCTAGAGGACCATTTCAGTTTATGCCAAATGAGTAGTGATGTTTGTATGAACTTGTTCCTTGTAACTCAAAATGTTGAGGCACCTCCATCTTAGCATGGCCTACAAATATTAAGAATTTACGTAGAATAACTATGAAAATGTAATTGTTCCCTTTGTTCTGGTGCCTGTTTCCTTTCTACAGGTTCCTCTATTCTGACGAGGTCCACATTGGTCCCGAGACGGTGATGACGACTCTGTACACGGCTAAGAAGTATGCGGTCCCTGCTCTGGAGGGGCACTGCGTGGAGTTCCTCACCAAACATCTCAGAGCTGACAACGCATTTATGCTTCTCACTCAGGTTACTTTCACTCTCCTCGACTATAGTGCATCCTTTACGTTAAAACTGAGAGATCCAGATGGCCTGGATTGTACTTTCGGTTTGTCAAATTTTTAATGTTGAAATATTCCTTTTAATTCTGCAAGTTAACTTGCTTGGTTTTGAACCATCCTCGATGGCACTAGATATAAGTAGTCAGATTTATGTAGTCTACAAAGAGTCAGATTTCTTTAATGGTGGGCATGAATAGGGTTTTAATATCAGCTGTGTATTTTTTTTTAATGCATTTTCCAGGCAATATGTTAAAAAAATCTAATGAAAATCTGGCATTGCTCTTACCGTCTGTTCAACAGCAGCTCTTACAGTTAGAGATAAACTGTATTTCTTTTAAGTGTGTGTGTTTGTGTCAGCACCAGACCACCTCCCAGCCATCGCTGGCAGGACTTTTACAACATTAGCTGTTCTATTTTTGGTTTATGCTGCCGTTTGTTTGGGTTCAGCATTCTGTTCAGTGGCTGGCTGCTGTGCCCTCAGGCTGCTACTGAATCTGATTGGGGGGTAGAAAAGGTCTCAGCAGCAACTAGAACAAAACTATAAACAATACTGTAAATAAGCTAAAGCAACCATAGTCTGAGCAGTGTTTTCTTTATTAGCAGTGGTGGTTTGGGAGATTTATTCATTAGCATTATGAGGTTCCACCCAACTTGGATTGTTTTAGTGTTTGCATTAAACTTTCAGTTTTGTTTTTGCTTGTTCTAACGTGTTTGGGGGTAAATTCGATACCCTCCTTTGGTGCGTTCAAGATAAATGACCAGAATCGACACTTACACGGATACTTTTGTGGTCTCGTTACAGGCCAGGTTATTTGATGAGCCTCAGCTCGCCAGTCTCTGCTTAGACACCATCGACAAAAGCACAGCAGATGCAATAAATGCAGAGGGATTTACAGATATTGACCTTGGTATGTGAGCGTTTATGATCAGGTGTTTTCTTGTCCACGGTTTGCATGCG